CATACCATGCAGCGAATTCATCATCTTTTTCTCGATCATATGCAAACCACTCAAGGCCATAGAGTAGCTTTCCTGGAATTCAATACGATCTTCTTTCCACAGGAGACCGGTTTCATACTGGTTGCCACATCGCTTGGTCGTTTCTAAGAGAATTTGCTCGGCTCGCTTGTCAGCTTCCGAAACAACAGGCTTTAACGACTTCACACCAAAATCTTCAATGGTAAAATACTTATGCATTTGTTGTTGAATTTCATTTATCTTATCTTGCTCGCAATAAATACGGCAAACAAATGCTTCGGAATTATGTTCGTTCGAACCAAAAAGCATGTAACCTAATTTTGCTTTATGAACCGCGAAGTGTTCATCTAAATTAATGATGTCTATTGGACGCACAAGCTGTATATGCGGAATGCCTATTAACATTTGCGGCACAACATCAAAATAATCTTCAATCGGTAATTCATTTAAATCAGCACATTCCTTCTTAAAATTTTCCAAATCTAATGTTTGTGGCGGTAACTCTAGGCTTTTTGTTGTTCTAACATTTCTCATTTCAAATGTATGTGCATTAACATTTGCACTTGAAATCTCTACATTCAAGCGTTGAGACGCTTCACTTGTTGTTCTACCACCTATCCATCGGAGTGACAACAAATCAGATGGCCCTTTTAACCCTACTGATTTAGCAATTTGTTCTTCAATAAGAGACATTTTAGAACCGTCGTCTACGAATGCCATAATCTTACGGCATCCCTTCGGACCTTTTATTATCAATGGCAAGAATTTAAATAATGTTTTCTTATTTGGTTCTTTTCCGAAAATAGTGGCAACATTCGCTGTCGTTTCTTTTGGATTCGACCACTTTTTCGACGAGTTCATTTCTTCATTCACTGTATTTGACGTTTTCTCTGTGCTTCTGTTTTTGTCAATAGCAGCCTTTTGTTTACATTCTTCATGCAACAATCGATGGTGGTATTTTTTGCAAAAATTGATTCCACATTCACGGCGAATATTGCAACTTGTTACATTGTGGCCACTGCGAAGGCAACAAAAACAAAGGCGTTTTGTTTTGGCAATTTTCCATCATTCACCGACGAGGCTGCGGCCAAAGTTTGAGCATTGGCAAACATCGTGTTGTTCGTCGCATAAAAAACACTGCGGCTTTTTATCATCGGTGGTAATTGTGTACGTTGGCTTGTAGATTTTATCTCGCTTTGCGTTGTGCGCTATTTCG